CCCTTTGGGGGACTTTAACCTGGGTTTCTCAGCTCAGCTGCAAGTGGCTCTTCCAACCCTACCGCCCAAGGCATGCAGCAGGCATCTCTGGGCACCCAACAGCACATGAACGTGGAGCTCGGCTGTTCTCAGCGGTGGCAGATGACAGGACAAGGAGCAATGGGCTCAAGTTGCAGCCAGGGAGGTTTAGGTTGGATATTAGGAAAAAGTTTCTCACTAGGAGGGTGGTGAAGCACTGGGATAAGCTACCCAGAGAGGCTGTGGAGTCTCCATCCTTGGAGCCGTGGCTAAACAAAGCCTTGTCTGGGATGACGTAGTTCGGGATGGTCCTGCTTGGAGCATGTAGTTAGACAGGACCTCCTGAAGTCCCTCCCAAAACTCATTTTCTATGACTCTTTGAGCCATGGGAGCAGCCTTGCTCGCACCGCAGGCCTGGCTGGTGCACAGACAGAGGGGTGTCCCTTCCCTCTCCACCCTGGCTGGGTTGTGTCCCCAGTCCTGTGTGTGGGTGGGAAATCTGTGGCCTTCAAACACGTCCCCGTCTGATCTGCACGTCTCCTCCCGCGGCTCCCCGAGCTGTGCTTCCCCGCTCGTGGGCCGTTACCACGTAGAGGAAGCTTGCTACTGAGAGCAGCCAAAGCAGGATGTCCTGCCTCTGTTCCCTGCCCCTTGCAAGTCAGTCCTCCCTGCCTGTCCCAGCTGGACCCTGGACCCCCCCCCGGCTGCCTGCCAGGGCCGTGCTTTCAAAAGCCCCTTTTTTTCCTTCTCCCTGGGGGGAGGGAAGGCGAGTACACATCTGGGCTCTGCTGCTCCTTTGCATTAAAAAAGGCATGAAAGTCTCCCCCCATAAGCTACTCCCGCACCTCTTCTTTGGCCCAGTGCGAGCTAAGGAAGGTGTGCGGCGCCCCGTCCACACGGCCCATCCCGCGGGCAGAGTCGCGTCGCCCATCACCAGCCCGGACCTGAGCCCTGCCGCGAGGCTCTGCGCCTCCTTCGGATCTGCCTGCAGCGCTGCCTCGCTGGCCAGCAGGAAGGAAAAAAACCCCAGAAACCTCCCAGATTTCTATCATTTCCCGCGTCGCCTCGCTCGGCCGTGGTCCTGCACTGCAAAAACGCCGGCGTGGAAATTGCTGAGCTATTTGCTAGCGCGGGGTGTAATATATCTGGAGCTATGATGCTCCTCTTAAAATCATGGCCTGCTACAGCTCTGGTAATTTGTGAGTTTGTCACCCAGAGTAAGGTTACTAAAAGCCCATAGACTGCATCTTCGGTGACCTCATTTGGATTTTAAAGTACAGAGTTATGAGGGAACATTCAGGGAGTGACAGGCAATTTAACAGCCGGGGCTGCGGCAATGCTGGGTTAATCAAGGGGCTCCACACACAGGCTTTTATTTACATCTCCCCGAGCCCGGCTCTCGAGGGAGCGGCGAGGAAGCAGGGCCGAGGCGCAGAGCTGCGGCTCGTATTTAACTGATGTGACAGAGAGCAGGGAGCCTAATGGCTTTCGGCGGGGCTGTTGAGGGAGCCCGCAGCGCCGTACAGCCGGGGAAAGCGCCTCTGTTTCTGATGCGTGGTTTGGGGGGTGGGAAATCTTCCAGTGCATTTGAGCTGCCGGATGCAGGAAGCCAAAGCAGGCTCCAAATCCCTTCCCTTCCTTTCAGCCGGCATCTGTTCGAGCGGCCTGCAACATGGGGCGGACGTCGTGCAGCACCGGAGCAGTGCCGGCACCAGGGCATAGCGCTGTGCCTGCCGGGGTAATTAGCTCGGGGGATGTATCCCGGTGCGGGTGCATGGTGCCATTTGGACTCCTCTCCAGGGGCTCTCGTGTTTGCATGTCTCGCCTGGGGGACCTCTGGACATGCTCTGTGACCTTACAGCGGGGAGACCTCCAGGGTCAGTGGATGCAAGGCCGCAGGATGTGGCTGTGATTTAAGCTTGAGCTTCCTGAAACGGGCCTCTCCAAGACTAGAGGGTTTCATGGGTGTGAAGCAACCTGGTAAAATGCCAGCGCCTCATTTCAAATTCCCCTAGAGGCAGCTGCTCCTCTGGAGCTCCTTGTCTGAGAGCACCCTACTCTTTCGGGGCGCGCCCGAAGCTCTCTGCGTCCCTGCTAATTGCAGACCCGGACGCTGTTTGCAAGATCACTACTGCAGGGGCACCTGAATTAGTTCCCAAAATGGCCTTTGACTTTTCTGTGATTCGTATCTGCAGCCATCCGAGCCATCGCAGAAATGAGCCATCTTCATGCTCCAGGGCATGAGCTGCCAGTGCAGCTGCGGTGAAGAAGCAATCTGCCCTTCCCCTTCCCGCCATCACACAATTTGCAGCTCCCTCCCATGCATTTTGCATCACATTGCATCAAACACAGGCAAAACCTGGCTAGGGCTCTCAGGTCACAAGTTGAGGGAAGTTACTACAACATCGTGAAAGTCTGGGGCAGGTGGTAGAACTTGCCGCTAGCGGGCCCAAAGGTCCTGCTCTGCCACTGCTCAACAAGACCCTTGGCGAGTGTGCAGTCTGGGTCAGAGAGATGCCCTCCCCACCCTTGCCAAAAGCCAGATCCTTAGCTGGGGCCATAGGGTGTAGACCCATTTAGCTTCAGTGTTACCCCAAGGGAAGCAGAAGGTGGAGGAGAAGGTGTTAACATGTGCATGCTCCACCAAGTCATGAAGGGAGGACCTCAGAAACCTGATGGAAAGGGACTCTAAGAAGCTGAGGGCGTTGAAGCAGCTGGCCAGGTGGGGCAATGCCTTGTCAGCTCAGCGGGGACCCGTCTTCACCTGGGCAGGAGCTGCTCACTGTGTGTTTTCAAGGTGCTGGGCAACAGAAAACATGAGCTTTCCTTCAGCCTCACTCCTATGTCAGGACGTGACCAAGTCCTCCTCAAGGATGAGCTGATAACTTAAATCCTTCTCCCCACCTTCCTGTCTCTGGGTCTTGCATATCAAGTAGAAAAGAGACCCAGTTTTTCCTTTCTTCTAGGGCCCCTCTGGCTCTTACCCAGGCCCTTCATGGGACTCTGTAGGGACACTCTCCTCCTCATTTCTCCGACCCCACTTTTTCCACCATCTCAGTCCCCAGCCTACCACAGCCTCTCCACTGAGACCCTTTTCTTTGATCCCTTCCATTCGGACGCACCGCCAAGGGAGGTGGCAGGGAGCACCTACTCCTACACCCTGTTGAGTCTTAGGAGCACAGGATGGAGCTGACACAGCCCCAGATGCTCAGCATCACTCCATCGGCTTGAATGAACTGGTGATCATTTGTACCAGCTGAGGCCTTGACCTCTTCATTTTCACGTGGGAAGCAATCGCTGTTGTTTCATAGAGTTCACAGACATTAGGGCTGGAAGGGACCTTGCAAGATCATCAGGTCCAGCCCCCCCGCCCAAAGGGCAGGCAGTCAACTGGGGTCAGATGACCCCAGCGAGGTGAGCATCCAGGCATTTCTGGAACATATCCAGAGCAGGTACTAGCAGCGGTGCAGTCAAATCTGGCCACCACTGATGCAGAATTGCAAAAACCTTCCTCTGAATCTGTGAAAGGCTTGTCAGACTGCTCCAGGTAAAGCTTCAGTCAGGGGATAACACCCAGGTAGCTTATAGAGGAAGTGAAAGGGGAGAAGTTGTAGCAACCCTCTGCACTGCTGTCTTACTGATGGGTAAGTGTTCTTTTTTATGGTGCAAAGGTAGGCTGCGAACGGTGCTGGTTGTAGTTTGGCTACATGTTGTTATAGGAAACCGGATTAAAATCAATCTGCTGTGATTTCTATTATTATTATTATTATTATTATTATTCAGAGGCCAAGGCTGTTATAGGAAACTGGATTAAAATCAATCTGCTGTGATTTCTATTATTATTATTATTATTATTATTCAGAGGCCAAGGCTGTTATAGGAAACTGGATTAAAATCAATCTGCTGTGATTTCTATTATTATTATTATTATTATTATTATTATTATTATTATTCAGAGGCCAAGGCTGAGCCATGAGAAGACCCTAAATCAGGTCCTCTCTCGTTCACCCCAGCTGTGACTGGGCTCTAAGGGGTTACCCCTGCTAGCTGGAGGTTGTGTGTCAGCTCAGAGGCCCGTCCATGTCAGGGGATACGTGGGTGGGCTTTACGCTTACCTTTTCAGTGCAGAAGTCCACGCACTTGTCGACCGACATGTTGAGCATCACCTGGCTCACAGGCAAAGCTATGGAGGTGTTGTCCGGCCTGTGGAAGCATCCGCGGAAGATCGCGCTGCCGTCTGGAACGGAAAGGGCGTCACTTAGCAGAAGCGAGGCTCCGGCTCGCGGGGGACCGTGGTGCAGTGCTAGCTCTATGTGGATGGATGCGAGGGCTCTCTGTCACCCCCCCAACATGCTTGCCACCCTTCTGGCTTTGCAACCTCAAAGTGCCCCATCTTCCCCCCACGCAACCTGTCAGAGGGTGGCAGACAGCTGTCATTCACTCGAAGCCCATGCATGCCCCAGCACCTAGTTTTAGGGACGCTGGTCAGCTATGATGGAGCACAAAACCACCTCGGGTGGCACTGATGCCTAGGGGACTCTCCGTCACTGGAGGTGGCCGGGAAGAGTTGGACCGCCACCGGCCAGGGATGATGTAGGCATAGCTATGCCTATGTCCTACTACAGGGGTTTCCCAGGCTTCTGGGCTTTTCTGGTTGTCCCCTCTCCTGCTTTCTGCTACACGTGCCGGGGGGTTGCACCTTCCTCAAAGGCATTGGGTGTTGGCAATTTTGACTGCCAGTCCAATTTTGACTGGACTAAAACCAGGAGGGTCCTGGCTGGAGGGTCTTGCCCCTCCATTCAGGGTCAGACCTGTGCCATATTTGGGGTCAGGGAGGAATTTTACCCCATGGTCAGATTGGTATAAGCTGGGGGGGGG